TACCTCTTTCTTCTCTCCGCAAGTTCGACACCACTTGTATCCTTCTTCTCGACGAAATGACGAATGAAAACAAGTTTAGGATTTTTATTTTATAAGTTTGTAAGTGTTATCTTTATGTTATAAAGTTATATTTTTGTCTTGTTTAAGAATTGTACTTAGTCTAATTTCTTATTTTGGAAAAATACCTGGCTTGTATGTAATTTTGCGATTGTTTCGATTGCATTTTATTTGTCTAGGAAGTCTTTAGTATGCTTGCAAAAATTAGGGGCTCCCCTTAATTTTTTGATTGCATCAATTTGATATCAGAGAGCAGGTTGTCGAGTGAGTCTTGGTGAGTCATAATAATTGTTGTATGAGTCTTAGGATCGAGTAAGTTTAAATTTTGTTGATAAAAAAAGAGTTAATGAAGTAATTTTGGGAGCCAAAACCTGTGGGTTTTCTTGGAAAAGCTTGCGAGCTTGTTTCATTTCTCTTTTCTCTCCTTGGGAAAGCTTGCGAGCTTGTTTTCTCCTTCGTCTCAGCTTCTTACCTCTTTCTTCTCTCCGTAAGTTCGACGTCACTTGTATCTTTCTTCTCAATCAAGGAATGCAAGTTTAGGAGTTTTTATTTTATGATTGTAATAATCGTTTCATAATAAGAAAGCTGGATTTTAGCATTTATTTTGTTATTTTTCTAAGTCTTTTAGTATGCTTGCAAAATTAGGGTCTTCCTAATTTTTTGCTCGCACCAATTGCCCTAATATAATCATTCCTAAATCAACCACCCGTATATGGAAGGAGATCGGCGTGATCCATGTGATCCTCTCACGGATACCCATCTCGGCCGTGGGATCAATGGTCAAGGGACGACTGAGATTTAACAACGTGATCTAGGTGAGCCTCCATAAATCCTCATGTCTGTTGTGGGATCAAGGGCCAAGGGACAGTGGAATTTTAACAATTACCTTACCAAAAACTTTAAATAAATTTGCATTAATAAATCCTATCAACCTAGATATAGTAAATCTCGAAAGTATTAAAACCTCAAATATTTAATTGTTAGTATCTTAAATATAGAGCTGGTAAATATGTCAGAAACCTGAAACTAACTTGGTAATTGCTGAAATGCTAAAACTAAAATCAATATGCTCCTATTCAAAGATTGCTCACTTGAAACAAATTCGTGTCAACTCAAAAATAATTTGATATACACTATATGTACGTGTTTATTAACAAATGTATGCACATATATATATATTGGTATTTAAAATTAACCCAATAGGCCTTCTGATGGGGGCATCAGAGCTTGGAAAGTCTATCAGAGGCGTGGCCTCCAATCTACGGCCACAATCGCGCCGATGTATTTTTAAGATTGTCATATGTATTTGTCTTTTATTTATTTATATTTGTATTTGCTTTATTTGTTTTCCCTTTTTATCCCTTACTTAAGGGTGGTCATGTGTAAGCCCAAAGGGCATCGTTATCTTTTATTTTTGAGTCCTTTGTATGAGGCTATATATGCCCTTATGTTCCCTTTTCATGGTTAATGAATGGATGATAAAAAATTTTCCGTATTTTGAGTTCTTGTGAGAGCTTGAGAAAGATTTGAGAGAGATCCCTTGGAGAGGGAATCCTATCACCCGTCAACCTTGGAAGAGTCCGGGATCGCGGCTAGTTCAACGTATCACATCTTACTCCTCCACCCTAACCCATCGACCCATCCCCCTCCACTTCAAGCCGTCGACCCTTTCCCCACCTTCCTATCCGTTGGCTCATCCCACCACCACCTCAAACAATCACCATCCTCCACCACATCACCACAGGCCCACTTACACAAGTCCCCACCCCATCGCCAGCCTTTTCCCAACCAAACCCCATGTCAAAGCCGTCGACCCCCCTTTGGGGTTTCCCTCAATGCTTGCAATTACCTCTTTCCTAATTGGGTTTTAATATTTTAGGTAACTCAATTACTTTACAAGTTCAAATCTTTTTTAATTTGAAAAGTTACCTAAAATACCAATCCTATTTAGGAAAGTTACCAAATTTCAGCCATTTGAATTTTCTAATTAATTGGGAATTAATTAGGGCCTTCCTAATTTAATAATCCAATTAAAGATGGCTTGAGTTTATTTCCCCAACCCCCTCTCTCTCTTTCTCCACGCTGCCAGCCTCCTCCTTGGGTCCCCACCTCCTAATTACTTTCCAACTTCAAGCTATTCCTCTTTGGGAAGAAATCAAATCCACTTCCATTCCCTCTTAGCCACCCCCATCCTTTCCTAAATACACCCCAAATCCTTTCCAAACTAAAAGGGAAACAATTGCTTGATTTCCCTCCACCACTTTTCTTCTAAAATCTGAACCTAAGTCTTGCTTCACACCCTCACCCTTGGCCGGCCACAACTCTCCCTCTTTCCCTCTTGAATTTGCAAGACAAATTCCTCCCTCTCAATAGGAGTCTTCAAGGGAAGCCACAACGAACGTCTTCAAACATTTCAACTCGGAACCAATGACTGGCAGATCCCGATCTTGATTCTGGACTCACTTACAACGAGCAAGGAGTCTTCGACATTCTCCGGTCAAACTCCTTCAATTTCAACCCGGAAACCGACAACTTCATCGAAGAATACATGGACCGCATCATCTTCACACTTTCCGAAGCCGTCGAAGAACAACTTGCCAACATTCAATGTCAAATTATTTCCGGACCTCGACAAGGGTGAACTTCTTCCCCTATTCATGTATCTTCCTAATCAGCTAACCTTGTAGGTGGTGATTTAATTGCAAGGTTTCGTGCTTCGCTCTCTGCCTTCGCTTAGTAAACGTAAGAATTGAGTTTACTTTCTATGTTGCTTATCTCAATGTTAGATTAGGGATTTTATTGAATAGTTACTTGGTTTGCATCTTGTTGGATTTCTGAATTAATTTGGTGGTTCATGTTCCTAGCTAATGATTTGGCCTAAGCATAGTTACCCCTCATTCGTTTTCTATCGTCGTTTAGTGGCTAATAGTTTTAATTATTATTTGCTCTTATGTAAGACGTGCAATTTTTTATCGCATTCATCTAAAGCATCTTAGTCCTGCATCACCTTCGCTCAACATTAAACTCCTAAGTTTCTAGGGTATTTGTCTTGAGTTCAGATCTGGAAGACAAAATGTAAAAAATTTCTCTTACACCTTATGTGGGTTTAAAGTTTGTTACTGATCATATGCCTTGAGCCTTATATGGTTGCAGATCCCGATGATCGGCATACAAAGAACTGAGATCTAGACAAGCAATGGCTAATAGCTTTAATTATTATTTGCTCTTATGTAAGACGTGCAATTTTTTATCGCATTCATCTAAAGCATCTTAGTCCTGCATCACCTTCGCTCAACATTAAACTCCTAAGTTTCTAGGGTATTTGTCTTGAGTTTAGATCTGGAAGACAATGTAAAAAATTTCTCTTACACCTTATGTGGGTTTAAAGTTTGTTACTGATCATATGCCTTGAGCCTTATATGGTTGCAGATCCCGATGATCAGCAATACAAAGAACTGAGATCTAGACAAGCAATTATCCATTGCTACAACCCACTATAAAGCCTTTTACGATCTCTGTTCTTAATGCACATCTTGTCGCAATCTCGATTCTCCATCCACTTTTCATTGCAATCTCCGATCTCCCTTCTCCTCTGGCAATTCTTGTTTGGAAAGAACTACAACTCCAATTAATAATAAAATTAGGTTTTTTTATATATAATAATTTAGATGCAAAAATATATTGATAATTTAATCCAATTAAAATAGCATATTTTCTAACATTGAGGTATTGCCCGTTGCAATTTATAACAATTAATGCACATTAATACTCTCCATTTTTTATTGCATCTCTGTAAATTCATTTCATTTTATCATTTTCTTGAGAAGTTAATAAACATCAATTTATAAAGCTAAGTGCACTCAATTGAAACTAAACTAAAATTTATTCAAGTCAAACAATTAGCTTTAGATTAGTTAAATAGACACGAGAAACCAAAAAAAAATATGATGGCTGGGATGAAATCGCATGTTAAATGAGCTATACTTCTAGCATGGCCCTTTTTCCTAACTCTTATTTATTAAGGCACCCTTCCTAAGTTCGATTAAGAAAGGTACCTCTTCTATAAATTTGGCTTAAGATTAAAATGTTAATTAGGTTTTTGCAAAATATAATTTATGCAACATAGGTCTAGGTTTCTTTTCATCAAGATCTTGATTTTATTATAAAATAGTCCTTTTAAACATATATTAAGGTAATTTGGATTGGATAGGGTGGGTTTAAATTTAGGTAATGCATTATTTTCTTCTAATGATTATTTCTATAACTATAATGATTGAATGAGAATTATTGCTTGAATCACCACCTCGATCTATCTCTGCATTACACTCACTCTCCCTCACTGTTCCTTTTTCTGGTCTCTCCTTTCAGTACATGTTCCCCTGACTATCTATAACTTATTTCCTCAATTTACATCCTCTAGCTGGTTTCAAGAATCTCAAATTCATATTTAGCTCCTCAGAGAAGTTCTTTATTTCATATAATGGTTATTTGTTTATTGAAAATTCTTCATTTCACATTACACTTTATTATTATTTAACAGGATCTTCTTGTTTTGCTTGGAGAGTAGCATACAACACTCAAATCTAGGTGTTGCCACCTCCAGTATCCATTTATCAAACTTCAAGCTTGATTACAGATTTTTTTGGAAATATATTCATATTGAGATCAACTTATTAAATGTTAGTATTCCTGCTTGAGGCCGTTGGATTCCGATGTCTTGTTTTTTCTTTTTTTTTTCTTTTTTTGGACTAGACATTTTTAAGCATTTTTAATGTTGGGGGCATTCTGTTCGTAAATGTCACAAAGAAGAAAAACGCAAGAATATAAAGTTTTTAACAAAAAGAGACATAAAATGCAGGAAGAAAATGATGGTGAAATGCTGGAAGCAAATGAGATAATATTTTTCACTCCACACAGCAAAATAAACATAAAGATTCACGAACCTGGTATCTATCGCCATGTCCTCCAGCATGGATGATGTCTGCCACACCAACTTCTTTCTTAGAGCACCTTGAACAACGCGCATCAGTCATCTGGTTATAAGAGCATAGTGAATATACTTGGTTGGAGTAGAAGGTTTGAATAAGAAATGTATGGCAAGCATGATTAGTCTAAGGCTTTGTTTGGGAGGGCTTTCTCACTGTTTATTTTTATACTAAAAAACTGCTTTAAAAAACTGTGAAAAAGCGGGTCCAAACGAAGCCTAATTCAACAATGACGTTCCTATCTTCATTTTTAAACAAACAACAGATATTTTGACTTAAGTTTAACCATCCAGGAAATAGTGGCCTACATTCCATCCTTCATATTATGTTCCTTTCTTTGTTTGTGTGTGCATGTGTGGATGAGTCCAGCTTGAACCAGGGAAGTTCAAGCCGGGTTTAAACTAGGTCAACCCGACTTAGGCTATTCTAGAAACTCATATCAGTCACCAAAATGAAAGTTCGAGATCCAGTTTGACCCAAACCCAAAAGGGCAAATCAATCTTGTCCCGAAGATTGTGTATGGGCATGTACTGGTCGCTGGAGAAAAACTGGCCTTTGTTTGAAAACAAGGAATGTGGGGAAATTCAAAATAGATCCGTTTTTCTGAAGTAGACAAGGTCCATCTGCATGAACCCAAGCGCAAGGAAATAGAAAGACATGGTTACGTGGATTGATTAGGATAAGTGCAAGGAAAATAGAAAAACATGAGAAAAACCTTTCAAGCATGGTTCACCGTCCACCATAAACAAAGGCAGCACTTAAACTACAGTATTTTTCTTCGTGCAAAGCAAATTGGTTGTTTCTCCTTTGCAGCATAGTTTCTAAGCAGAGTAAATAACTGCAATGAAAGCAGCTCATAAACAAATATATATGGTATTAACCTTATATCATCATTGTAATGCTAAGGGTGTGGGGTTTAAATATTGAAATGACCTAACAGGCAGCTTAATGGGCCCAGCTTTGTAGATCCATTCTAGTTAACATACGTAAGAAGTTATAGTCAAGGATTTGCCGAGGAGTCTAATTTTTAGAGTTTCTGAAACATACTTGTGAGAGCACGTTCATGGGGGAGGAAAAACAAGACTAACCTGCATTTGTTTTGTCTTTTCAGGTTCCTTTATTGCCCTTTCTGCAACTGTTAAACCCTCCTGAAAATTTTAAAAGAGATTAATGAAAAAAAAGTCACCGGTTATTGCAAAAGACAATGTGTATGACAGATAACCAAATCCAGAGAAAGCACTAATGTCTCTCTAGTTTTAAAACTGCTCTCTAATACTCCCATTGTCCACAACCAGATGCAGAAAAACAGGACTGCAAGCACTTGAACTGGTACAAAACATATTTAGGCTATTTGGGCAGGCAGGGTTCCTTAGAACTGCCAAATTCACAGACCCAAAAAAGAACCACTATAGGAAAGCTTGCTCACAGCTTAAAGATGTCTAGTAAGAATGTCAAATCATCAGGTTAAACTGCAGTTGCTAGTCAAACAGTATAACAATAACGAGAAGAAAAAGAAGAAGAAGAAGAAGAAGCAAAGAGATATGAAAAGTAAAAATTTAGTTCAAGTAAAATGCTTCAAGGATGATGATCAAAAAGTGTTTTTCTTATAAAAAGAATATTCAACATAGATGGACGAGATATTTCAATAATTTTTTCAATAAAAACTGTAAGAATACGATTGACTTTAATGACATTAGCACCCTCAAGGAAAATAGAGCTTTTTTTTCTCGCCGTATTAGTAAAACCTCAGATAGAGAGGGTTTAAAGAAAATAAAGTGTTGAAAAGTTGTTGGAGAGGTGTGGAAATGCTTAGGAGATGAAGGAATTTATTAGCCTACTAAACTTTTTAATATTATTTAAAAGACTAAAAAAATGCCAAATGAGTTTGTTGGTTCCTATTTTTAAGAATAAAGGTGATGCACAAGAGTGTGTGAATTATAGAGGAATTAAGTTGATGTGTCATACATCAAATTTATAGGAGAAAGAGTAACTGAGCATAGGTTATGACATGATACTAATGCTTCTCAAAATTAGTTTGGATTCATGCCGGATAGATCTACTATGAAACTTATATATTTGCTGAAAGGTTTGATGGAGAATTATAGAGAGAGTAAGGGGAATCTAGATATGATATTTATTTATGTAGATAAAATATATGATAAAGATTCAAGAGAAGTGCTCTGCAGAGTTTTAGAAAAACAAAAAAGAGTCAATGATTATAATCAAGTCATTAAAGATATATATGCATGAGCTATTATTTTTGTTCAAACACTGGGTGGTTTGACTAGGTATTTTCCTAATTCACTTGGACTACATTAAGGATCAACTTCAAGCCTATATCATTTTTCTTTATTCTTCAGAATTTTTAATAGACATTTGCAAGATGATGTACCCCGATGTATGCTTTTTGCTGATGATATTCTTCTTGTTGATAAGAAAAGAGAGGGAGTTGAAGGAAAACTTGAATTATTGAGGTCAACCTTAAAGATTTTCATTTGAGTAGATCAAAAACCAAATATATGGAACATAATTTTAGTCATAATAAATATTTGGTGGGATTGTGACATTGGGTGATAAGTCATTAAAAAATGCATGTTTTAGATATCTCGGATCTTTTGTTCAAAGCGATGGAGAAATAATGGGGATATTATTAGAAGAATTCAAATTGGATGGTTGAAGTGGAGGAATGCATTGGGCCTGTTGTGTGATAGAAAATTAACCCTCAAACTTAAGGGAAAATTCAATAAGACCATGGCAAGACATGCAATGTTTTATGCGTAAAATGTTGGCCAATAAAAGAGAAGCATAAAATTAAATTAAGTATTGTGGAGATAGGGATGCTCAGGTGGATGAGTGGCTTTACACTTAGAGAATGCAAACAAGGATATACGTGAAAAGGTTGTAGGAGCTCCGGTGAAAGATAAGGTTAGAGAGAATTTCCTTAGATAAAATGCCGACTTTTCAATGACCTGACTAGGAGAGTAGATGTATTAGAACATGTCTATGTTAGGAAATGTAAAGGTGCACCTAAAAAGACTTGGTTAAAAAGTATTAAAAATGACATTTTTTTTCTTAGATTTAAATAAGAATTTGAATCTTAATAGGACACAAAAGAGAAAAAGTACTCATGTGGTCGATCCTAAGTAGTGGGAAAAAGACTTGTTAATGTAGTCAAACAATACCAGAAATATATATCAGTGAAAAAAAACAGTGGTTCATGCTCAAATTAAATGAAGTAAACGCCATTTTATGCTATATTTGCAAGTATTGCATGCATACCTTCAACTCATCTGGTGTCATAGTCAAAACAATAGATGGCTCTAGTTCTCCGTTCAATAAACGTTCAGCTAACTTGTTCTGCAAATAAATAGAATAAATAATTACGGGAATCAATAGGAGAATAATAGGGAATATATTCAATAATAACTGATAAATATTTGCTCTCCAAAGGTAATCAACAGCTCCTATAGGTAAAATTAGAAGTCAAATTTGCTAGCTGCAACTAACTTAGTTTAACGCTAGCAACACATGTTCCCCAGAGAGCTCAGTGAGCTAGATGCGTAATTTCCAACACTGCACAGGCTACCAAACGGTGAAGCACTGGAAAAATTTTTCTAACCAAAAATTGAATCAAGGAATTTAAAGGTGTACTGGAGTATAACACAATTTTCGTAATTTCCATGTGTAAAGATCAACAAATATGCAACGATGTGAAAAAATTAATGTAGTACAATCATATCATTCTAAGGATCCAATTAAACTATATATGAAAAGGAAAATTAAGATAAAAAATAAACAGAATTTATACTAGCATGATTCCATCATACTTAGGAAACTTACTCCCCATCGTCTATCAAAATGAAAACTAGTTACAGTTAAGAAGCCTAGAACTGCCAGTCGCATTAATGTTCTAAGCATCTACTGTACCACAAATGTGAGATATACATTAGACAATCAACCTACTATAGCATTAATAGAATTTCTTACCCAAGGGATTAGAAAGAAACAAACTATCATTTAATATGAAATCATCTTAGGCTCCTTATATGTAGATGAAATCAGTATGAATATAACAAATAAAAAAGATAGAAATCATCGTTACAACCTATAAACATATCAAAACTAAAATGTGCATGTTATTACAGAGCAGCTGCTTCATGTTCACATAACAGTAATTCAAAATATTACAATGAACTTCCTTCAACAGCATATAATTAGATTCAGCACAGATGTGTAATACTGAACGACATTAAATTTAACCATGTCAACCTTCAAGAAATGACCATCATGTTCAAATAAACTACAGAGATATTTATTGTTGCTATATGGTATTTTCCCTATAATCACAAAAATAGGAAAAACTGTTAGAAAAAAGAATCCCTCAAAACTAGAAAATAAGGGAAATGATTCGATAAGACATGCCTTGGCAAACAAAACTAAGATATGCCTTGACAAATAAACTCCACAATTCAATTTTTCCTTCAAATACCTCTCTAGTCATACCAATAAGAAAAATATCATCAGCAAAATGCATACACCAGGGTACATCCTCTTACAAATGTTTAGTAAAAACATCTAGGACTAAAGCAAAAAGATATGCGCTTAAAGCTAATCCTTGATGCAATACAACTGAAATAGAAAAATAATTGGTCAAACCACCTTGTGTTTGAACACAAGTAATAAGTAATAGCTTCTGCATACACAAGTAATCAGGTCCAATAGCTAATCCACACTTTTTTTTAAACCCTCTCTATCTTTGATTTTACTAATACGACGATAAAAAAATGATAATCTTTATTTTCATTTAGGATGCTAAGGTCACTAAAGTCAATCGTATTCTCATAGTATTCATTGAAAAGCTTATTACAATATCTCATTCCACCTATGTTGAATGTTCTCTTTTAATAAAAGCAATTTTTTATCTTCATCCTTAATGCACTTCACTTGAACAAAATCCTTCTCCTATCTCTTTGCTTGGCTAACTTATGCACACATCTTTTGTCCTCCTTAGTATCTAATTTATTATATAAATCATTAAAAATTAAATTCTATACATCCCATATTGCTTTCTTAGACTCCTTACAGCCCCCTCTATAACTTTTTCAATTTTATGTGCTTTTACATCTATAAACCAACTTTATAACAAAGCTTCATATTTTTATCTTTTCAAGTATTAGCAAAGCAAGTCGGGAAAATGTCCAAATTCTTACACATGCTAAATTACAAGTAAAAAGACAAAAGAATGCACATGATGGGAATGTGTTTTGTTTATATGTTGACTGAAAGCACAAAAACTATATCCTTGATTTAAAATATATATATATATATATATATATATATATATATATATCAATGATAACTGCATTAAGAAAAAAATTATATATATATATATATATATAGAGAGAGAGAGAGAGAGAGAGAGAGAGACGTATTTCAAACTTAGTATTTTATGGAAAACATGTTATGGAAGGTAAACAAATAATATCAATATTACAACATATATTCTATGTTCAGTGGGCAATAGCATATAGAACAGATATTAGACATTCAAGCAAAGCAAGATCATAATTAATCAATACAACAAGCATTACAAAAGGTTCAATGCTCTTCTGAAGCTTCCTTGAAAGGAATATGCTTCCATAATTGGTAAGAGCAGCTTATTGATCAATGCAGTACCAATACACTATTCAAACTCTATTAATTAATAAAAGTTCAAAAATAACAAATGTTAACAACGAGCATACAAGGTGCATCATCACAAATCTAAATTACTACATATCTCATTCCATGCGTGTTTATGTTTACATAAACCTTCTTTAAAAGAATATGCCCAAGAAAATTAAAAACAAATATTGTTTATAGCCTACTTTCAACATCATTGCTAGAATGTGGCATGTTTGCACAAACTCAAATCAAGAAGCAAAAAAAAAATCTCGAGAAACGGATAGATAGAACTTGAACCAACACTCTTTACATAATGCAGCCATTCAAAATAAGAAATACTCTTTTGGGAAACCAACAAACATAAAGCATTCGAGCAATTTCAACAGCAAGCAGTTACAGACCCATGGGATAAAAATAATGATACATAATAATTAACCAATAGATTCAGAACAAACTTACATAATAGATAGCAACCTAAACAGTAGAATGCTTGGGATAAAACTAAGCTTTGTTTGGATTGAAGGAAAATAAGGAAACTAAATGAAAGCAAAATCATTTGCGGGTGGATTATTAATCTCACCCAAGATTTTAGTTTTTCAACATTTTTTTCCATTTCCTTACACTCAATTTCCCACCAAACGCAGTTAAAATGTTTTAAGAGGATTATAGTTCATAGTAAAAACCAAGTCAGGCGGTAGTGTAAGGCCCTGTGATATGCACAAAGATGGAAGCCTGGAATAACAAACAACGAACAGACCAAACTAATAGGAGGGAAGAATGCAGAGCTCTAATTTAAAAGGATGGGCAGCAAATCTTCGTAACGTGTAGGTTGTATCACTCAAATCAGTAATAGCAGAAAGATCATAACAAAAGGGGACACCATACAGTAACAAAAAGGAATTCAATGAATCATCCACCTTGAGATTATAAGCCAGTTGCCTCATTTTCTGATTGTATTTCTGGAAATCAGCCCCAAGAAGTTCATGCGAAGCCTTCTCAAGTGCAGTAATTGCAGAAACAGCTGCATCTGGCCAGTAAACTTTTTCAGAAGCCTGGAGACAAGAAATAAGTGTGAGCAAACAGAACTATAAAAAAATCATAATGACAACAGAAAGGTATTCTTGATGAATTTATAAAAGGTACTCATTCAGGAATTATATTTAACCGAAAACAGCATACATAATTATGGTGATGTTAGATATTGCACTACATATACATAACATAAAAGCATGTGTGTATACATGCATACATATACTTAGAAGTAATATAGATAGAACTATAGAAGCTGTTTAAAATAATTGCCAAGCAAAATTTAACGCCCCTTGCAGCAATTAGTAAAAATGAATGAAATTTGGCATTCATAAAGTCATATGCATAGTTAGGATAAAGCTAATGATGATAACGATGATTATTAGTGGGATTCTACGATATTAACTCGCATACATGTTCTCCAAGCCTTGACCTATTCAACGTGATGATCAACAGCAGCAATGTATTCATATGTATAATGTATTGGTATACTTTTGTTTATTCAATACTTTAATGGTCATTGTATTCTTGAATATATTTATACTTATTAAAATTTATTTAAAGAATATTTTGGATGCAAGATACTATTACAAGTAGTAGGGATGTGTGTAATATCCAGAAAGTGCAGGTAAATACAAATTTATTTTTCTTTTAAATGTTTATATTTAATATTGGTTATGAAAATTTAGATATAATATTTCTTAACATAAATTAATTAACTAATTATATCCGAATAGATGCTTGATTGAGAAGAGATGTTTGACAATTGGTTATTGTGGCGGGCCCCATTTTCCTCCTTAATATCAGATAAGAGTGTATGCAAGCAGCAGTTTTCCCGTAAGCCATCAGAGAGCAGTCGGCATTCTCTGTTCGCAGGAATCATGTAGCTTAGTTCGCTACAGTGTCGCGGGACTGTAGCAAGGTCCGGCTGAAGGATTTCGACAAAGCAATTGGGTCCTGTATCAGTTTAGATGGTGAGAAGGAGACTTTGTGATGTGAAACTACTAGGAGTTATTTTAGAAATTAAAAAGAAAAGAGATTAAAGTGTTGCTCATTATAAATTGAAAGCTAGCACATGAAATTTGAGTTAGGAATTCGAAAGTATTAACTTGCTTAGGCCCAAAGATATGCAATAGAGATTAACCAAAACAATTCATTCAAAATCCAAGGAGATTTAAATGCAAAGTACAATTACAAAAACCCAATGTTTAACAACGAGAATTTCACCTCGGGGCCGTCTCATTCAAATTTTAGTAGGCTTTTAGCGGAGAGAGAAGATCCAAGCGATGAAAGATATTACCACTAGAGAAGCGACACCGAAGAACCTTGTTGACGGGGAGGTGGCCGGCGGGGAAGGAGGTAGTGGGTGGCTTACGAGGCTCCACTTGTGGCTTGAGAATCGTCGGTCGAAGATGCTAGCAAGGATCGGGACAACTCGGTCCAAATATTCTTCCACGGTGGTCTCGTCTTCAAATCCCACGTCAAAGCACGGGGAATGTAGAATGTTGATGCTTCCGTCGGAGTTGAATACAAGACCCCACTCAAGCTCCGGGTCCGCCATACATGCTTGGCGTGGAGGACTCGTCAAGGAGAGAAGGGAAGAGCCGGCGGGATCTCCAAGGGGAGAGAGGGGTTTCGGTCAAGGTGGGAGAGAGGGGGCGGGTGTAATGAGGGAGAGAAGCTAGGTTAGAAGAGATGGCATGAGTATTACCCAAAATCTGAAGTTGATCTCATATTTTAGTAATATTGGAGGGAATAATTTGAAAAGAATTTCAATTTTCCAATGGAATTAAGAGGGGATTTAATGAGCAATTAAAAGGGGCTCATCTAGTGATGGCCGGCGGCATGCATAGAGGAAGGGAGAGGTTTGAAAACCTAAAACTGAAATTTAATTTCAGTTTAAGTAAATTAGGAGGGAAAATTAAAATCAATTTATGATTCTGAAACGGTCAAGCCATTAATCAAGCAATTAATGGGGAAATTGCTCCATGGGGGCCAGCGGCATGCATAGAGGGAGGGAAGGGAATTCAAGAGAGAAAGGATTCCAAGTTAGGATGATGATGTGGCAATCGAATTCGTAACTCCAATCTGAATTGAATTGCAATTAAATCCCATCATGAAAAACTTCCTAAAACGAATTTCCAAATTAGGAAAGAATTCAAAATTTGAAAGTTTTCAAATTTCAAATTTGAACTTTGTGTAGGGAAGGGGTCGGGTGGTTGAGGGGGACGTCGCCGGCGAAGCGGACGGCCGGAATTTGGGTGGTGGTCGTCGGCGGGTTCTTCAAGGGGCGGCGGCAATATGATAAAAGAGGGATTTCTTGTAGTGGCGGGGAAGGGAATGGATGTGGACACGAACGAGAAGATTGAAAACTAACCACGAATCGAGGACGCTTCCAACGATTGGTGGGCCTTGCGATTTGCTCCCTTGAGCTCTCACTCTCTCTCTCTTTCTTTAAGCTCTCATGCAAGAAGGCAAAGAAAAGAAACAATATAGATTTTCATTCCAATATTCATTAACCTCAAAATAGTACATGAGACCACTATATATAGGTCTCAACTCATACAAAGAGAAAATACTAAATTGCCCTCTGGGCTACAATGATAAAATAACTCCCCACAGGGGTAAAAATGGAAAGACAGAAAATAAAAAGATAATAATAAAAATAACATCATGACATCTCAATCAAAAGTAGAGGCGCTGAATCGTGGCCGTCGATCTGCGGTTTCGCCGGCGATAAACATGTCGGTAGCGTCTGTCGATGTCCTCATCACTTTGGAAGTCAGCCAGAGAAGGAATTTCGAGAAAAACAGGAAGAAAATCCTGCTGCTATCAAGTATTGGAATAGGTAATGATTATAATGGAAGTTTTTATATATTTTTGTTATGATAATTGGTTGAGATTTAAGTGATTATGATCTTAAGTTTAGGATTTATACTATCAAAGAAAGAGTGAAGATTAATTAGGGCTGCAAACGAACCGAGCCGAGCCGAGTATGCGAGTGTTCATGTTTGAGTTCATTTATCATTAACTTGTTCAAGTTCGGTTCATGTTTGATTCAAGCTTTATTGTTTGTGTTCATGTTTGGTTTGTTTAATTTAAGGGTGTTCGTGTTTGGTTCATGATCGATTCATATTTGATTCGTTTAATGCTTATCGAGCTTTAAGCAAACAAGCCTTAACAAGCTATGTTCATGAACACATTTAACAAGCAATCTATTGAACAAACAAACATTAAATTTGTTCTTGAACATCTTAAACAAACAATCAAACAAACATAGACAAATGTGAAATGTATTTTGTTTATAAAATTAAATTTATAATAATAGCAGTTATCTATTTAAAATAAAAATATGATTAATCTATATGAATATATTCTTAAATGAAGCTTACATGTTGCATTTCTCTCCATTAGAGCTTTTTATCGAATTTAATGTCGAGCTTGTTCATGAACTTCAAATGATGTTGATCGTGAACATAAATGAACTGAACACATTAGTGTTCAAGCTTGTTTATTTAAGGATCGAGTATTTAAAATATTGTTCAAGTTTGTTTGTTTAGTTAGTTAAACGATCACAAATGAGCTTTAATCGAACCGAGCATCGAGTAGCTCGTCGAACGCTTGGTTCGCTTGCAGCCCTAAGATTAATCATTTCAATAAACAAAGAATAATAGAGAATTGAAGGAAAGAAAGAAGGTAAGTTATTTTAGCATTTGCTTAGTATGGAATTTTCTATTAGTACTAAAAGTTCTTGAAGATGTTATAACATATGGTGTACTAGATAAATTTGGTCATATGCAAAGAAAAAGCTTTAAAGTGACATACAATCGAAGAAGAATTCGAAGTAGAGGATTGGAGTAAACTCTACGTCAAGAAGGTAATTAATGCAAATTTAATGTTTAAAAGAATATTGTCAAATTCTACTTGTAGATTTATAATTGATTGTTAGTGACTGATTGAAAGAAATGAACTTATGTGTTGCAAGTAATTTAGTTTGATTTAGAATGTTTTATCCAAGATTTTAAGTATGAACTACTGCTTATAAAATACTACCATATGGGTTCAAGATAATGTTTTGTACGCTCATCTAAAGGTTTTTCTATTTGAGAATGTTTTGGAAGGATGCCAATTTCCTTGAAAAACTGATGCATATTAATTTTATACAAGATATATATCATGAATGATGATGAAGGAAGATATGATATATGATTATGAAAAAATGTTGAATACGAAATTAATGTAAAATTTGGCTATATCTAATGTATGTATTACCAATGTAGTTGAGACAAAAAAGGTTCTCATTCAAGAACTATATGGTAAGAGGGGAAAAAGGGACCTCACGAATTATGGTATCTGCTTAGCAGGTGGGGCAAAAGGGACCCTAAAGAGGCAAAAGGGTCCACTATGAATTTCAATCGCAATAATGCCAATTTTACATGTACTCCATTGAATAAAGTTAAGAAAGTATAGCCAAATTTTGCACATAAAATTTATATTTAACAGAAATCCAAAAACATTGAAGTATAATGTTAAGTATGACTTTTAATATTTCTAGTAATGATTTCAATGTTCTAATTATTCATGTTATGCTATTTTAATTATTCATTTTAATTGATAATTAATTATGCATAACTTGATGAGCCTCACAGCTCACCAGTTACTTCTTACTGGCTATTTTTACAGGAAAGGGCAAAGAGAAGATTGATGCAAGCTAATTTATGTAAGTGTTTCTTCTTTACATGTTAAAGTTATATTTGTTAGTGAGTTTACTTTTAAATGTATTTAAGAACTTCATATATGTATTAGTTGGGTTGTTGTAGTGGCTCCGTAAGTTGATCTTTGAAGAAATTTGTAATTGAGATGCTTCCATGTATTCAGTGTACGATCTATTAGTAAATTTTTAATATATTAATGAAAGTTGTACTTGTAATATCTGACAGTACTAATAGGATTATTGTGGGGTTTACAATGTGATAATCAACAATAATTCTAATTTCTCTCAAAATAATTTGGCCAGAGCTCC